CCTGGCCGCCCGCTAATGGCAGTGTCCGGACGCGGGAGAAGCTTGCTCGTCCATAAAAAGCCTCGCCGGGCACTCAGGCCCTGCCCGCAGCACATTACGGGGCCGCGCCGGTTCTCCAGCATTTCTCTTAAAGCCTGAGCGAGGTCGGCAAAGTGGAGCGGGGCCACTCAGGGCCGGATTCGGCTGCGCGAGGCAGGGCTCTGGGGTGCCGTTCCCCTGGCCCATTTACTTCCACAGCCTCCATTCCCAGCCCGGCTGCGGCGTGGTGGGTGCTCAGGGCTGGGCTGGGAGCGAGATGCTGGCGTGGGCGCCATGCACGCCCTTTCCTGGATCCATTCAGGGTGGGAGGGGGATGCATCCCAGGGCTTTGGCAGAGCTAATTTCCATGCCCGGGTCTCACAGACATGGCATTAATGCAAAGCTTTACGGCTCAGCATTGATGAAGCTTTTACTTAGGGGAGTGAATCCTTCTAGGTCCCAGCAGTGAGGGTCGATGCGGCTGGGCAGAGGGGCCAAGTACCTGCTCTGAGGATGCTCGGGGGCGGTTTGGGCGCCCACAGCCCATCCCAGCTCCCACAAGGGGCTGCATCCAGCAAAACTCATCCGGACACATGTGTTTGGGGCCCCTCAGGCCCATCCTGCCTGCAGTTTGGGGGGCTATGGCGTGGGCAGCGGTGCCCAGATGGCTGCGGGCAAGAGCCCCAGGCGGGAGCCCAGGGAAGGGAGCGGAGCCCTCCGAGGTGGGGAGCGGGGTCAGCAGCGTGCCAGCTGGATGCCAGTTTATTAAGTGCAGAAAACAAACGCGGGGAAGCCAAAGAATGCAGAGAATTTCATGGGCTGATGCTTCCTGTTAGGGGCTGGCAGTTACCGGCACTGCCCCGGCTGCTCCCCGCTGCCCCGTGGCCACCGGGCGATGCTGCCCTGGCCACCGCCTGTGCCCAGCACCTTCCCAGCTAGGGCTCAGCTCAGCTAAGCGTGGCACCCAGCTCCCCTCATCTGGGCACCCAAATCCATGGGTGTGTGGCCGTGCTTCTGGCTCCCCAGGGGTGCACTCAGCTCCGGGGATATGAGACCAGTGCACCCAGCTCTGGGGACACAGGACCCAGCTCCCAGGGGTGCACGGCTGCTCCCGGGGGAGCACGCCTGAGCTCCCACGCAGCGCGGTGGCTGCACACAGGGGCTCTCTGCCCCGTGCTGTGTTGCTGCCCCGGCTGCGGGGCTCCGCGCAGGCATTACCGGGCCCGAGCGGAGCACTCAGCCTCAATTAACTCCAA